GCACGATGACCTAGTAATAATTTAAACTCAACTACGGTGCGATATATTTTAATTTTTAAAAATAAATGCTGCTTTACTTTTGTTCAAGTCAATCTTTCACTTCATATCTTATTTTTATACTGAAAATGTTTGTAAACACAAAACCTTCGTCTTTGATATATTCTTCTGAAGTGATCTATGGTTATCTGAGCTACAAAATAATAGATCAACAATAGGAAAAGTAAAATTTTTTAAATCTTTTTTTTAATTACCGTTCTTTTACATTGATTTACTACCTGTCTAAACATAATTTTAAGCAAGATTTTTCAAATTTTATGTTTAATTTTTATTGTGTAGAATTACAAAATTATATAGAAATTACATTGAAATTTCCCAAGCAAAAATGAGTCAGCTAGTTAATAAATATTTTCGTTTAAAACACAGATCAAAATTTGTAGAATCATTTACGAAAGAAATGATTTTTAAAAATGTGGTTCCGAAAATGATTTTAAAATAAAAAGGTATAATTACATAATATTGAAATAAAGAAAAAATACATTTTTTTAATTCATTTGTTTAAATATGTTTGTTAATTACAAAATAATAACACGTTACTTCTTTGTTTTAATGCATATAATATGTATTAATAAAGAAAACACCTTTTTTTGCCGAGAAATAAATATAATTTGCAAAAACAAACGTTTTCAGCCTAGTTAATAGGCCATCTTCAGGTCGAAAAAATGGAACGCAAATGTTCCATAAATAGAACATAAAAATATTTAAATCAAAAAATTTTACAAGTAAAAAATAACGGAAGAATAAATAAACAAATAAATTAATTAATTAATTAAAACAGAAATAACATAAATCTTCAATGGATTAATTCTGGTCGAAGTTTCTAGTATATTTCTTAACCAAATATTTCCATGCCGATGGTAGGCTCTCCGCATCTCTCGCATTTAAACAGCCTTCCCCTATCCTACTTCTGTATATTTCAATTTTCTCCGCCGTCATTGCTAGAGATGGGGAAGACAGAGGCTTGATGATTGTTGCCTCATCCCATTTAACCTCAGAGCCTTGCGCTTGCGCCATTTGTGACAATATCGTTGAATTAGATGCTTTTCTTATGGCGTATCTATGTTCTTTGAGCCTTACTCCCAAGTTTCTGGTAGTGACGCCGATATAATCTTTTTTAACATCCAGTTGTAGGTTTTCATAAGGAATCTTATACACCCCTGCTTTTTCTTCCACTTTGATACTATCCTTATAATATGTATGTGAAGTTCGAAACAAAATTTTTATATAGAGAAAACTATTCTAATCTCAACACCGGGGTGAACTATCCGGAACCTGTAACCGGTGCGTGACGCGTATATATTGTATATCGCTGACCCTTCCGATCGCACCAGACTCCCCGGAGTCTATTTTATCCCAATCAGGGACAGCAGACAGAATGAAGACATTATACATCGGTTCGACCAAACGTTCCTTGAATACCCGTCTGCGTGAACACCAGGCGGATATCCGACACGGGAGACTTACCACAGCCCTGGCCACGTATGCGTTGGATCCCGAAGTCGAGGCGCGATTCGAAAAAACTACCGTTATAATCAACACACCCCACTAGGAGCATCTCAGGTGGCTAGAGGCCACGACTATCTACAACGCCGGCCGGGTAATCATGTGCGTTAACCGGAAGGAAAAGCTGACTCTATCTCTGGCCTGGCAATCACTGTTGGATGCCAACCCTCAACTTCCCCCTCTACCGCACGACCGAGAATGTCGGAAAGGACCCACTTCGTCGAAATGACACCTGATCCCAATAAATAGAATGCACTCCGTCCAGGGAATTCCAGTTGGCCTGAAGAAGAGCAAAGAGATTGTTCGAAAACGTTCGTCAACAGCGATATACAATATATACGCGTCACGCACCGGTTACAGGTTCCGGATAGTGTAGTGTCAAAATTTTTATTTTAAATTTAATATTTTCTTATAGTTATTTGCAACGATGTAAATATTATATTTTCCCTATCGTGATTTAAAGCTTTTTTCAAAATTATTTGGTGAGCTTCATCCTAGTGATGGGCTCAATCAACTGAAAATGACAATCGGTTTTTTCAATCGGATTAGTACCGTTTGTAAACAGAGTTCCTTATATCAATTTAAACAATATATTAATGTTTATCGTTTATTATAAAATAGAAAGAAAACATTTTATTGAAATTATTAAAGTTAGCATTTTAAAACTGTTGCTAACTTGCAGAATCCTTTCAAAATATCACATTAATTAATACAAGTGTAATACAGTACAGTAGAACCTCGATTATCCGGACTAATTGGGGATGAAGATAGTCCGGATAAGGAAAAATCCGGATAATCGAAAATCCGGATAATGGAGGTCCGGATAATGGAGGTTCTACTGTATTTGTATATTTTTTAAATATGTGAGAGTAAATATAACATTAAATACACAATAGGAGCTCACAACAGAATTAATTTTGTAAATGTTTTTATTAATAAACAATTTATCATTTTATTTTCGGTAATAATATTTTATTATTAGGCCTTTTTTTAACACTGCGCCCTTAAGAGGGCCTCTTTTTTGCAAGCTCATTATAGGTTCGGCCAGGTCCACAATGGGACGGGGCCCGATATATCCGGACGGACCACCTCTCCGAAAAATTCCTGGGGATCTTTTGACCCGTCTGGATTCGATTCCGAGTCCCCAGAGCGGTTGGCTGCCACCTTGACCGCTCGGCTATCCGGCAGTCTTTATTATTAGTCTTTGAAGGTACTGTACTGTACGTTATGATTCGTATGGATTTTACTGATATGGCGTATTAGTTATTTACACACATGGATGGATGGAGACAAGGCCAGAGATTTGCAAATATTTTTCAGTGATGAACCGATTACTGATTGAGATACGCGGGTTAGCATAGGGATTTATTTACATGTTAAATCAGACTGGTTAACTCGAATTCATCAAACAGTTTTAATAACGCTGATGGAGTTTTGATAGTGTTTTCATAAACTCGCCGGAATTATAATTTATATAAAATAATTAACGGTCATCTATCGAATAAACTAATTTGAAATTTTCTACAAAACGCGGGAACCACATACGACTAACAATAAACGTCTTGTCACGTTAACAGCGGATGGGGGTGGTGCTTCAGAGAGCTTGTGTGACCTATATCAGCGGTCGCCAATCGGTGGTCCGTGAGAAAATTTTAGTGGTCCGTGGAGAAATTTCTCCACGGACCACTTGAGTTGATCGATGTCCAAATTTGGACATCGATCAACTCAAAGTTACGCGAAGTATTACGAAAGATGCAAAATGCTTGGCTGCTTTTTCTCGCTCATTAGTTTTAGATTCGAATAAAAAAAACTCCAAACAAGAAGTGACTTTTATCAATAAATTAATAAATACAGTAGAGCGTCGTTTATCCGAAAGCCGGTTAACCGAAAACATTCCAGTTGGCAAATTTAAATTTTCGTTAGTACTGTGGCGCTGCAATATTTGGCTATATCTTGGGCTACTCCAATATTTTTTTGAGGACTGTGTGTAGTGCTGAATCGAACGTTTTTCATACTAGATCAACTTCTAAAGTATAATTTTTTTGTTTTTATGTTTTTCAATATATTTATTTTGTTTGTAAAAAATAAATAATTTTTAACGATACAATAGCCACGATTATTATTTTAAAAAGTTTACGTTAGGCTTAACATCGACGAAAATTCAACGCGAAGCAACACGCAACGGAGAAAAATTTTAACATGGGATAGGTTAATATATTTTTTCGTACATAATCAGTTATCCGAACAACCTCAGTCCCCAATTGATTCGGATAAACGACGCTCAACTGTAATGTGAGTGCGATGTCGTCTTTCGTGGAAAAGATCCAAGAATCCATAAACTTATTTCGAAGCAGCAACAAACTTCACACTTATTTGTTGAAACTAAACAAGTGAATTTCGTATTAATAAAATAAAATAAAAAAGAACGTTTGTGATCTGAATGAACGTTTCTATAGAAGTTTGTATCGTTAAAAATATTATGGTAGTAGTCCGTGCAATTCGAAATTGTGAGTTTAGGTCCGTGCAATTCGAAATTGTGAGTTTAAGTCCGTGAAGTCAGAAAGGTTGGGGATGGTTGACTACTATTCGAATCTGCTTAGAAACCTAGAATTTTTTTGTTTTTTATTTGATTGCCGATGATTTATCGGATTAGCCGACGTAATAAATAAATGGATTTTTGATAAATTAAGAAAACAATTATAGTACGATTCTAGGTAAAAATTTTAAACATACAACAACCTTAAACCTTAAACCTGTAATGCAATAATTTATCAAAAAACTACTGTTTTAAACTTTATTATTTATTAAAATAATAAACTGAACATATTAACATAATTTTAAATAATATTTCAAAGATTGTAAATATGAAAATGATTATAAATTTTTATTACAACTTTTTATTTAAAAAAATTAGAGTATCTATTTTTTACCGTATTGTACTATTCATTAGTACACGGAAAACTGCTAGTTTTCCATTCGTTTCTGACTTTTGGAGGCTTACTAAATTTCGAGTCCGTAGACTGGTATAAAAAAGTAAAAAAAGGTAAACAGGTTAACAAGGAAAATATATTTTTATTTTTATATAAATATACATCACCCCATTTTTAATGCATTTCGCCTGACAAGGCCTCTTCAGTAGGGTTTCTGACGACTAGAATGTACAATAGGAACAGCAGAAGATATCTCAGACGACACATTTTTTTCCGTTGTAGACACAGCAGAAAACACATCTTTCTCACTGATACCATCGCGTTTACAATCTTTAAGTAACACAAACTCTTCCCAGCATTCCGCTGGTATCACCCCATTATTCAAATTCATTACATTACTTTGCATAATTATCGCGAAATGTTCTTTAAATTTTCTTTTTACAATATTTTTCTCTTTATGTATTATTTTTACATTATTAATATCTAATTGACAGTTNAAAGAAAATTTAAAGAACATTTCGCGATAATTATGCAAAGTAATGTAATGAATTTGAATAATGGGGTGATACCAGCGGAATGCTGGGAAGAGTTTGTGTTTCTTAAAGATTGTAAACGCGATGGTGTCAGTGAGAAAGATGTGTCTTCTTCTGTGTCTACGACGGAAAAAAATGTGTCGTCTGAGATACCTTCTGCTGTTCCTATTGTACACTCTAGTCATCAGAAACCCTACTGAAGAGGCCTTGACAGGCGAAATGCATTTGGGGTGAAGTATATATTTATATAGAAATAAAATTATATTTTCTTTGTTAACCTGTTTACCTTTTTTAATTTTTTATACCAGTCTACGGACTCGGGACTTATTAAGCCTCCAAAGGTCAGAAACGAATGGAAAACTAGTAGTTTTCCGTGTACTAAAGATTAGTACAGTACGGTAATAATAATAAAAAAATAGATTATCTGACTCCATCGATTCTTTTTAGAATATTTTTATATATATATATTTTTAATGAAGGATGGATCCGGAGGCAAAATTGAAGGGTTTACAGGAACAGAGAGAAAAATATTTAAAGGATGTACAATTTTTTAAGTGCCATCTTCGTGAAGAAATCACTCCAAGAACATTACAACTAAAGAAGTCGATAAGAAAAGACATCAATGAACAAGATATATGGAAGATAGAAAGATTAATATTGAAATCAATAATAAATAAAAAAGGTAAATTAATTAATAATATAAATAAAAAGATTAAAGAGTTAAAAATTAAATTAAACATTAAAAGTAAGAGAAAAGAAGCAAAGACTATAAATAAATACATAAAAAATAAAAATGAAAGATTATGTAAATTATTTGATTATCCTTTAGAATCGGAATACAGAGAGTGGCAAGAAAATCTGGTAGTAAACCTAACTGAAAAGAGTATTCCAGACGATTATATGCGGTTTTTGTCATATGGTGTAGGTATGAATTTACCATATTTTGATAAATCATTGGATACTATAGCGGACATCGAATTGGCAATATTTAAAAGTGGACTCAATAAAAACAAAAAAGAGGAAATTAGAATAAAGATCGCTGAAGATCTAAAGAAGTTTAAAACAAAACAAGGATACATGATGGATCAAAAGGCTAAGAAGTATATAGGTAAATATAACAGATTGAAAAAGTTTCTTCATAGATTTAATTTAGGTATTGTAAAAGCAGATAAATCAAGGCAATTAATAATAATGAATTTAACAGATTTAGACAAAAAGAAACAGGAAATTATAAAAGAAGGAAATTTTGAAAAATTAGAGTTAGATCCAACAAGTAACATACAGAAATTATTGAAGAAAATTGTAGGAAAATTAATAAAAGAAGGAGCTATTTCAATTACTGAAAGTAAAGAACTATTACCAGGAGAAAATGTGAGAATGCCAAAGTTAAATGTTCGTATTAAGACACACAAACAAAATAAATGCAGACCTATAGTAGACTTTAAGATGACCGTGTTATATAATTTAGAGATATTTTTAAAGAAATCATTACAGGTTATATTAAACTCTGAACTTAGTATAAAAAATACTGATAGTTTAATTTCAAGATTAGAAGCAGGAAGAATTTTGCCAGAGTACCGTTTAATGAGTATAGATATAGTGTCAATGTATCCATCGATTACAAAAGAAATGATTATACAGAGTTTAAGTGAGTATAACACCCCTTCAGATTTAATATCATTAATAACATTTGTATTGGAAAACAATTTCTTTGCAGTTAAAGGCGAGTACTTTCGACAAAAGGATGGAATATCCATGGGCTCGGTGGTCGGCCCAAAGCTGGCAGAGATTGTTATGAAAAATATAGATAAAACGTTGCTGAACTTAGGTGGAATAGTTTTTCTGGCACGGTATGTCGATGATATATTTATTATTTATAATAGTAAAATAACATCACCAGAAAAAATCTTAAAAGAAGCTAATGAAATTAATGAACATATTAAGTTCACCTATGAGTGTGAAAAATTAGATAGTCTTAATTATTTGGATATCACAATAACCAGGTTTAAAGATCATTTGGAGTATAGTAGGTATGAAAAACCTTGTAACACAAACAAAGTTATAAATAATAGATCGTATTGTCCAATTAGTCAGAAAAGAAATATTTATTTGATGGAAGTAAAAAAGATATTTTCTAGAACAACCAGAAGTGAAAAAAGAATAGAAGAAATTAAAAATATAAATAAGAAGTACTTGTTAAACAATTATCCGAAAAGATTGCTGGAGAACTGGTATGATGAATATTTAAAAAGAAGATTTCAAGTAAAGAAAAAACAAGAAAGTAAAAAGTATGTTTCTTTTCCGTATATCAAAGGTATTTTCGAAAAATATAAAAAAATTTTCTGTGAAAACTTAATACAATTGGCTCCATTGCAAAAAAATAGATTATCTAAATTAATTATAACTGAACCTTACAGAAAGAAAGATTTATTGGAAGAAGAAGGAGTGGTTTATAGGCTTCAATGTACGTGTGGAGTACCGTATTATTACGTTGGAGAAACGAAACGGAAACTAAAAGTGAGGATGTCGGAACACTTGGCAGCAGTACGAAATAAAATTAATACATCCCCGGTATTTTTGCATTGCCATGTTAACAACTGTCAATTAGATATTAATAATGTAAAAATAATACATAAAGAGAAAAATATTGTAAAAAGAAAATTTAAAGAACATTTCGCGATAATTATGCAAAGTAATGTAATGAATTTGAATAATGGGGTGATACCAGCGGAATGCTGGGAAGAGTTTGTGTTTCTTAAAGATTGTAAACGCGATGGTATCAGTGAGAAAGATGTGTCTTCTTCTGTGTCTACAACGGAAAAAAATGTGTCGTCTGAGATATCTTCTGCTGTTCCTATTGTACATTCTAGTCGTCAGAAACCCTACTGAAGAGGCCTTGTCAGGCGAAATGCATTAAAAATGGGGTGATGTATATTTATATAAAAATAAAAATATATTTTCCTTGTTAACCTGTTTACCTTTTTTTACTTTTTTATACCAGTCTACGGACTCGAAATTTAGTAAGCCTCCAAAAGTCAGAAACGAATGGAAAACTAGCAGTTTTCCGTGTACTAATGAATAGTACAATACGGTAAAAAATAGATTATCTGACTCCATCGATTCTTTTTAGAATATTTTTATTGATTAGAGTATCTAATTTTTCTGGTTTATTCAACTTCGCCTTTCATTCACTATCTGACCAGCTTTCGAAAATGTTCTCTCTGCTGGTGCCGAAGAGCTATCTCGCTTAAAAAGTCGGTAAAACTCATAGCAAACACCACCTTAAAATTGAAACTGAAGTAGATGCCGCTTTAAGTAATTTGTAATTTTCGGATTTGTTTAATTAATTAAAATAAATGAAATCATATAAGAATTTTTATTCTAATTAATACAAATTTATAAATTTGTAAGTTTTTTGAAAATATTTTTCTTATATATTACTTCAAAAATTTTTATTTCTATAAAAGTATGCCAGAACCGCGATTCTAAGAAAAACAATCGAATAATCGGTTTTTTACAACTGATTGTGCCCAACACTACTACATCCTAATGTCTACGTTTATGACTTATGCTGAAAACCTGCTATTACTCTTTCATAATCATCTCATATTTTAAAAATGCTTCGTAGTCCATTTATAAAAGTCCATAAACTTGGATGACTTGTGATTTATATTTATATATATTTTACCAAGATTTATTTTAAAAAGTCCTCCAAGTCGAATTTTTAAGTTTTTGTCGCCTACTTGACTAGCGCCCAGTTATCGCGTACCTTGTCCAAGAAATTGCATCAAACACAGCTTTTTCAATAAAATTTCATTTAGTTTCTTCTCCTGCATAAGGTAATGTATAACTTCATTTTACTTCGTTAAATATGTATAATAGTTGTTTGCATTTAACATTGCATATATATATATATGCTAACATTCTATTTTCATCCGCAATGTTGTAAGATGGACCTACCGCGACCTGCTCTATAATTTATTTTAATCATGAATATTAAAAAGATTTAATACTACCCCCACTTTATTTGGATTTTATTCAAAGTATTATTAAATATTCTAAATATAATACAACAAAAATTCTATTCTAATATATTATAATTAACCAGCTTTAAAGTATGAACTAAAAACCAAAATTTAACCATATTTAAAGTAGAAGTTTCCAATGGCATTGTGACGTCATACACCGAGTATTCTGGCCTGGAGATAACGATGACCACGAATAAAGCATTCAAAAAATCATTTTATAGGTTTCAAAGTAATTTTTTGATTCTTGTCGGTTATTTACTCTTGGGTAGTTAATCTCTTATCTAAATATTAGTAATGAATGATTCAAAACTAAGCAGAAATTGCCAAATTCTTTCTTTCTTGGTATTGCATGCAATATATTTACTTGTATATTTTCCGTTGTAATAATTTTCCTAGAAGTGCACTGTTGTTTATTATAATTACAGTATATTAAAAAAATTTCCAAAATTTTTATTTTTTATCTGAACTGAAGTCTAAATAAAATTCAATATTTTGATGATAATTCAATATTGCATTTGTTAATTTGTCAATTTATGGGCACATAAATTGACAAATTTATGTGCCCATAAAGGTGATGCCACTGCACAAATTGATTCTTTTAATTCTATTAGAACTTTTATTTTTCTACTTAAAAAAATAAAAATACAGGTATACCTCGAGTTACGTCGTTCCCGATTATACGTCGTTTGTCAAGAAAGTATATTGAATAATAAAAATCAAGTTTAAGTCATTTTATTCAACTTTACGTCTGTCCGCCACAAATATTGAATTCGTAATATCACTAGAAAAATGTTTAAAGAACATAAAATCATATTAAANTTTTTAATTTACAAGTCTTTTTTAATTTCAAATTTCTTTTGAACACATTTTAATATTCAATATGAACGTATTCAATAATAAAAATATCCTATACAACTATATATTATTTTGGCACTGCATTAAAAAATTATTAAAGGCTGGCTTACTCTATAACACCAAAACTCCATAAATATTAATGGAATAGAAATCAAAAGGGAGAACATCATCATTAAAGAGAAAAGTGATATCTTTAACTAATAGAAATGGATAAGAAATTAAAAGTTAAAAATGATTTTTGAACTTTTTAAATAAAACTGTTTCCAAGTATATACTGTATTTACAGTACATGCATTCGTAAATTTAGATTACTTTTTTCTGTACTATATTAATTAATTAAAACTAAAATTTATTTGTTTGTAAGCTTAAAATAGATCCTTATTAACCATATATTATTAAAAATGCATTAATAAATAAAATACAAAAAGGGAATTGGTAATTTATGGTTTAGCCTAGTGGCAAGTAAATTCGAAGACAAGTAAATTCGACTTACGTCGTTTTTCGACTTAAGTCGTTCTCCTGGAACCAATTACCGACGTAAGGCGAGGTATACCTGTATATAAATAATAATTCAATTAGATATAGGCTTAAATGTGGGCTTAAATATTATAAAAGAATTGAATTGTAACTTTTTTCAGTAAATTAAAAATTTGAATCGATTACATAAAATTACAAGAGAACAAATACAAATTGGAAAGTATACCTGTCGGCTACAGTAATATTACAATTCAGTTGTGACAGTTTACAAGAATTAGCCTATAAGGATGGAAACCCAGTTTTTTAAATAATACATTAAGAAAATTATTCAATAAAATCAGTTGATAAAATTTCTTATATGATATTTAAAGTACAATAATAAAAAATTTAAACGAATGAAACAATACGTTTTAAGTTAAAAACGTCATTCGTCGACAAACATTGATTCATTTTTGGCCAAATTTTTTTTAAAAAACTATAGTATCTCATTCCCATTCCTTTAAAACTTCGAATAATTAAAACAACCATAAACAGAACCGGGTATATTTTTTCAAATGTACGTCCAAGACAAACAAACTCAAAGTTAATAAATTTTATGCAAATTCTATCACTCCACTCCGAGAACGACGTCACGCTCAAGACTGTATGAAATAAAGGCATACCTTTATTTTTCTATCACGGGTCTACCACTATTCTGCTCGATAGTTGTAAATAGTTAATTCTTTGAAGTCCTGAGATATTGGATGACCCCTTTTTCCCTATCCTTTCTCTTCAATGAATAGTTCAGAAATGGTTAATCTAGTTTGACAACTACCAACTTTGTTGGAACGACAATAATTATATTGAATTTTTGAATAATAATTATTCAAAAATATAACCAATTATTGGTTATATTTTTGAATAAATATAACCAATTATTGGTTATATTTTTCTCTGCGCTTTCGCGCACACCAGATTCTCTTTCCTTATTTGGTTATTAAAAACATTTTAAATTCATTTTTAATTATCTATTTTATTTTCATATTTTACTTATATTTATTTTTTCAACAAATAATTACTGCAGGTAGTATTAATGTTTAGCAGAATTAATTAAATTGAAAAATTTTACTTTATAATTCTAAGAATTATTAAGTTAAGTGAGTAAATAGAAAAATATTGTGGAAAATGGATATTAAAAAATAACTGTGTGGGCCTACGTATATAATTTTATTTTAGATAAATGGTTTAAAAGTAAGTAGAAATATTTAGTTTTAAATTAATTGCTGAGAATTGTATTAATGTTTCGAAACTTGATGGAAGTTTTTAAATTAATATTTCATACATCTAGTTTCATATATAAAACATACTTGTTTATATTTGCATTCAGACTTCTAAACTGTTAGACAAATTTTAAGGTTATCTGATTACAGTCGACACCCTATAACAATGTTGATAATTCCGTTTTATATGAATTCCATGTTGTACGAGTCATTTAGATTTTACAAATACGTGTGCCGGTCTGTGAACGGCTTACGTATTTGTAAAATATAAGTGACTCGTACAACATGGAATTCATATAAAACGGAATTATCAACAGTGTTCTAGGGGGTCGACTGTACTTTTACACTTTAATAATTATTAAAGGAAAATTGTGAAAATAAATAATTTATATTTACAGACAACCATAAAATTAATTATCATACGTTTCATTTTCAATAAATTTTGTTTTAAACAGTTCCTTGGAATACAGTATTAGATTAAAACGTTCTATCAAGAGTGATTTATTGTTATAATTTTTAAGATTTAGTTTAAATTTATATCTAAAAATTAAAACTCGAGAAGAAAAAAATTAAAAGATGAATATTCATATAAATATCCTGAAACAATTAGCGTTTGTCATTGTGTTACTAAAATCCATGTTAAATTATCAGGAAAAGAATTCAAACTAGGAATGAAAAGATTAATTTTAAAATGTTCTTATATTGCTAGAAAGGAAATTGTAATTTATCATTTCTGTCTAAATTGCAACAAAACTTTTGAAATACATTATTTAAAACGTGGAAATCCCATTTAATTTAATCGTTACGTATTCCTGTACACTAAATAGTAGCATATTCTACTTTCAAATTGATAAATGTTCGGTTTTTAAAATCTCGAAAGAAAAATGGATATAAATAATTTAGATTAATTTACTTTGTAAATCTAATTGTATATTTAGAATTTTAATTTTTAAAATAACAATTACATTTATTACCTTAAATCTTTTCCATTTCGATTATGTACTGTACAGCACATTTGATATTTTCTCTGCGATGAGAATGACCGACAGCTGATATCGTAACTAAATAAGATTTGATCATGGGAAACTTATACTTAAAAATAATAGAAAAATGAATAAGCCTAAATCATTTTAGAAAGTTCTAATTTGATAGAGATTTTGAGGCGATCGTGAAATTTAACACAATAAACTTCAAGTAATTTCTTTGTAAATAATTTATGTTTAGAACAAAACTAAATAGAATTTATTCAAGTATAAATTAGGCCTATATA